GTGTGTGTGTGTGTGTGTGTGTGTGTGTATGAACCGTCAAATCAGATCTGACTGGTACAGAAGGAGGTTGTGCCTCCTTCTCCAGCAGAGCATCTGGTGGATTCCAACCGTGTACCTCTGGGATTGCAGTGCAGCTTCTTGCCACTAGGCCACCAGAGCGTCATTCTGAATACGTTTTTTATCATTTCCCCAACCTAACCTTTAGGCCTGCGGTGGTTATTGTTGTTAGGTGCTGTTGAGTATGACTCACAGTGACCCTCTAAACAACAGGTCTGAACCCTGTCCTATCCTGTACGATCCTCATAATCTCCAACATATTTAAGCCCCCTGCTGCAATCACTGGCTCAATCCATCTCATGAGAATCTGAGTGTGGAGGAGTGGGTACCAATTTGGTATTTGGATGATGTTTTTATGAAATAAACAATACTAACAACTGTCTGTATAGGTGGGGTTCATGGGTTGAATTGTGTGTCCTCCAAAACAGGTGAAGGCACTGACCTCTCTAGAGTTCTAAAGAGCAATGATATTGGTCTAGAGACTAAGGTGCACCTGATCCAGGCTACAATATTTGCAACTGCTTGCTATGCAGCAGAAAGCTGGACAATGACTAAGAAGAAGATGATAACAGGAGAAGAATTGATGTCTTTGAGTTGTGGTGCTGAACAAGATTATTGAACATACCATGAGCTGCCAAGAGAACAAACAGGTTTTGAAGGTGAGATCAAGTTGCTCCTTGGAGGCAAGGATTTTGAAGCTCTGTCTGACATACTTTGGGCGTGGTGCCAGGAGGGATCAGTCCTTGGAGAAGGACATCATGCTTGGAAGGATGGAGGGACAGCGCAAGAAAGGAAGACCCTGGAAGAGATGGATTGACACAGTAAGTGGGGTAACAGGGACAGGTGTATCAAAGACTGGCTCAGAATAGGGCAAAGTCCAGAGCTATTGAGCATAGGGTCACTATGAGTCATATTCAACTCCATGGCACCTAACAGCAGCAATGATGTAGAATGTATACGCTCTATAATGATCCTTCATGATCTGATAAATGAAAATAGTTGTAGAAGGACTAAGGGTAGACTACAACACTCCTTAATTCCAACCCAGTCCTAATACAAACAAAGAAGAGTTTCCTTCAGGTGTAACCTGTCATAAATAACTCTCTCACTAAAGAGGGAAGGGGAGGAGAGGGGAGGGGAAGGAAAGGATGGGAAGCGAATGGAGAGGTGAGGACTCGTAGCCCTCTTGAGGAAGAATCAGCAAAAGTCTTGCTGGAATAACTTTGTAAATTATTACTGAACTTGGGAGCATTATGCTGAGTGAACTAACTCAGTCTCGTAAGGATAAATATTGTATAAAACCATTATTGGAGAATGAGTATAAGGATCCAGGAGGGGTGGGAGAGGCTGGAAGCAGAGGGATGTGGATGTGCAGGGGGAAGAGAGGATTAATTATTGGATTGTACAATTTGATGAGTTGGGGGAAGGGTGAGGGAAATGGAAAGAATTTGTTCAAATTTGTATTTGAATTTTGCAAATAAACTAGTAGAAAAAAAATTTTATTAAAGATACAAAAGAAAAAAAAAAAGTCTTGCCTGGAAGCCGGTTTCTGCTCAAGAATGCTTTCCAGACCCCATGGAAGGCCAGAACAATTGAGAATCTCTGCTGAATGCTTGCCCTGCAGGTGCTGAAGAAAACAAGAACTTTCCTCTGTAAGTGACACAGGATAAGCTGGCATTCCGCTAAGCTGCTTTCCTGAATCTGGACTTCTAGACACCTGATTGAGGTGGACAAGTGCTAAGGAGGAGTTGCGCTGCCAACCCAAAGGCTTGCAGTTCAAATCCACCAGCTGCTCCATCTCCTCTTGTGCAATTTACTGCCTCTGAAAACCCAGGTCAGCTGTGGGTTGGTTCCGATGGTACATGTTAACCCAATGGTACATGACAACAGTCTTCTAAAACTATAAGAGAATTCATCTGTTTTTGAAGTATCACTGTTATAGCTACACTAGCAAATTAAGACAGGTGGTAAGTTAATTCAGAAGGCAATTTCTTTAAAGGCTGTTTTTGAGTGTGATTCAACCCATAAGAACAAATGTGTATTTCGAGTACAGTCAGCCCTCGTTCAGTGAAACCTAATTCAGTCTCTCAGGGGACACAGAAAGACCACTGACCTAGTTTCTCCGTTGTTCTTGAAAGACGCGGCATTGTCATTTCTTTATAATTAATTCACTCACACAGGGATGTTCTTTGCCGAGGAAAAGTCCCAGGAGGATCTGATGAAATGAAGAATTTGTCCTCAATAAACCAACTGCTCCTGTTTCAAGGGAATAGGACGGAGCTGACGGCTCTTGAGCGCTTAAGGGTGTGAAAATCTAATCAATTTCCAGGGCTACTCCACACGTGTTATTGATGTCAGACTCTCAAATCTTAGGTTTGGGGGTTTTAAAGGAATATCTGGTTCACTGGTGATCCATCCCATCGCTTGCCTTGGGGGCCCTGAGACACTCGCTTCCAGCAGTCGATGCAGAGAAAGAGGCTCCTTGGAAAATCAGGAGGGAAGTGTTATAAACAACATGACCAGTACTATCTTTCCCATCAGTAGCAGCTCCTGATGCTTCCCCCCCCAACCCCTTTTCAAATGCCAACGGAATAACAATTAAAACAAATCACTTCTTTCTGGGGCACATAACCCACTGGGTAACTCTCTTCAGCTCTCTCGTGCCCAACTACAGTGGAGTCTAGACACTGCTGAGAGCAGTAGGAGGAAGCAAACAGGATGAAGAATTCATGGACCTCATCTCATTTTCTCCCTCGCCTGGTACCAGCTGCTGCCAAGTAGACGTCCACTTAGAGACCTCCTGTGCGTCAGAGGAGAACTGTGCAGCTCGGGGGTTTCAATGGCTAATTTTGCAGGAGTTCAGCAGGTCTTTCTTTCGCGGCATCCCGAGGTGCGCTGGACCCAGCACCCTTTTTGGTTCACAGCAGAATGCATTGAGTTTTGCACCCCCTCCCCCTGACTACCTGTCACAACAGCCCCGAGCCTTTCCTAGTCCTATGCCGTTCTCATTGGCTCTGCTATTACGTCTGACGTGACAGTCACTGTGTCTGTCCATCTCATTTTAAGCAGCCTCCTCTCAGTGACCCTCCACCTTGCCAAACAGGATGTCTTTTTTCCAAAGACTGACCACTTTCCCTGACCCCTTCCCTATTCGGTCAGTAGAAAGAAGGAAAAAGAAATGGGGAAAAGGTACCTTTTTAAGCACATGGTCTTTATTAGGCATTAATTGGCACACAAATATACGGAACGATTACTTACTTCTCACCCTCCCCACCCCACCCCCAGCAACAAACGAGGACAAAATCGCATACAAGACACTCACGTACAAACATGCATTCTCTCACATACTTGAACATACTCAGCCTCACATATTACCCTGTTCTCTTTATTAGGGTGAGTTTAAAATTAAAAAGGGGGGGGGAAACACCAAAAAAGCAAAGCACATTTGAAAGAGGGGAGGGGGGAGAAATGCAAACTGGGATTTGAGTATCAATAAAATTAAAAGCTCTTGGTCAGCCCCCTTGCTGGATCTCATCTCGTGTTATTACTTAATTAGAACTCCTATTTATAAATAAATAGTACCAGTAAAATATCACATCTGAAGAACCCTGCAATAACGTTTTACACTTTTTATTTATTTATTTATTTTTTAATACTGATTGCTGTTCTCAATCAGCACAGTTTTATGTCGCCATTTGGTGTCCATGTGATTTTTTTTTTCCGGAGAAAAGTTGTTGGTCAGCGCATCTCACCTCTTCCTTGTGGGCCACGGAGTTTGCCATCGCGTCCAGTTTTGGGTTGTCGGCGATGGGAAGCTTGGGGCTGGCTTTGTCTTTTATCAGGAAGCCTATTTATCTTGGCTTTGTCACAACTCTTGTCAGCGCGGCGTTTGCTCCCCAGCTTATCACAGTTCAGCCTGCGTGCAAACTGGGGAGGACTTGGTAAGGTTTTCAAAGCAAGCTTTCCGGTCGGTCGGGGAGCTGTAGGCCATGTTTTTTTTTTTCAGCGGCAGACAGGAGGGAAGACGCAGAGCTGGGAAGACGGTGATGTTAAATAAGATATGGTGCCAGATGGAGCCCAATGTTATCCTGGCTCCACCAGGGAGTTGAAGGCCAAACACAGAGTCGTGTGGATGATGAAGGCAGGACACAAACAAAGAGAAGCCAGGGCACAGGGGACCTTTACAGAAACATCCCACAAGCAGAGGTAGGTACTTACTTCTCTTAGTCAAGGGAAGACCAGTTGCCATCCAGTCAACGCCAACACGTTGACTCATGGCCACCCCACGTGTGCCAGAATAGAGCTGTGCTCCGCGTAGGGTTTTCAATGGCTGCGTTTGAGGAAGTAGATCACCAGGCCTTTCTTCCAAGGCACCTCTGGGTAAGACTCTAACCTCTAACCTTGCAATTAGCAGTTATGAGTGCTAAATATTAGCACCACCCAGACACTCTAACTCAAGGGGAAGGGGGCCAATTTAGGCTACGGAGATATAAGGTAGTGGGGAGGAGCAAACCCCACAAGTCCATACTGTAAAATACACTTGCCTCTCGGACTTCCACCAAAATAAAGGACTAGGTCCCACTAAAATAATTGAAGGGGGGGAATATATTATTATTATTTATTATATAACACTGTCAACAGTAACAATCAAAGATAGGCAAAAGAAGCCAATGATGCCTAAGGAGGCAGATCCTTAAGTGAGGCAAGACTTTCTGGAGACCCAAGGGTAGAACTGGGAAGAATAACACTGGAACACTGGACAGGGGGAATGTGGCTGGTTATGAGAGTGGTGTTGGTCATGGGGGTAGGAGATGGGGCCCTTCTCTCTTTTTTAAAAATTATGGGGGTTTTTAGATCTTGAAACAAAAATGGCAAGGTCACATTTTTTTTTGAGTCGTGGTTTCAAGAGACTGATTAGATCAGTGTCCCCGTGTGGGGGCCTCTTGAGTGCAGACAGACACAGGGTGAAGTGGAAAATCTTGTCCGTAGGGTTCTCTGTGCTACTGTCTCTGTCTCTCTCCAGCGAATGTCCGTGGCCACGCCAAGTCACACTCTAGCTATTGTCGCTCCACTCTGGCACCATGCCAACCCCATGCACAGAGTGGTACTGGTGTGGTGAGAGTGTCCTGGGCACGCCATGAGAGTAAAGGAACTCGGGGGGCTGGAGGCCACCAGGCGACTGGAGGCCAGTCTGTGGTCCACATTGTCTCACCACAGGCTGGTGGGCCACGGAGGTCTGGTGCTGGAACATGCCCTCTCCGAGCTGTGGGGAGCCATGGTTGGCCACTCCAGCCAGCCGGGGGACCAGGGGCCCGGAGGTGAAGTGAGCCGAGAAGTGCTGGTACGGCAGCCTGTCCATGGGCTGCACAGTGGTGACCGTGCAGCTGCTGTAGGAAGGCACGCCGGGCCATGTGTTACAGCTGATGTCCTCCAGGCTGGGCACCGGCTCGCTGGGCGGCGCCGAGCTGGCGTACATGCAGGCCTGTCGCTGGGCAGACTCAGTTCTGTAGGAGGCACTCAGACTCTGCTGCTGGGGGTAGCTGGGCCGGTAGAAGGGGTCTTCATCACTCGGTGATGTCTCCATGTAGGGCTTCTTGTAGGGGTGATCGGCAGTGGAGCACTCTTCATCTGCTAAGACAGGAAGAGAGAGACCAATGAGGTCAGGCTCAGCCACTAGACAATGGAGATGGCTGTTTGACCAGAGAACCAGAGAGGGAAGTCTGTAAAAACAGCTCGAATCAAGCCAAAAGGGGTGGACTGCCATGGTTACAGTGCTGCGCTATGAAGTTTTAGACAATCTGACCTTCTGAATTCTACCTCTTCATGCACGAAATGGAAAGTATATCAACATTCTAGGTTCTGGGAACACAAAAACATTCAGTAACTATTTTATTATTCTTATTCTTTATTATTATTATGCTGTATGCTAAGCAAATAACATGAGAAACTGGGCAATATGAAGAAGAATGTGGCATCAGTATTAGAAGCAGCCTCATCAATAGCCCGTGTTATAAAGCTGACACAACTGCGCTTGTAGAAAGCAAACAGGGCTTGAAATACTTACCGAATAAGATCAAAGACTACACCTTTCAATAGGGATTCTCAATATCAAGAAAACAAAAATTCTCACCATGAAACAAATAGCCAACATCATGACAGATGGAGGAAAGATTGGCGTTGTTAGTGATTTTATTTTGTTTGGATCCATGATCAATACTCATCATAACAGCAGTCAAGAAACCAAAAGCCATGTTGCACTGGGAAAATTGCTATCAAGGATCTCTCCAAAGTACTAAAGAGCAATGATATCCATTTAAAGATTAAGAGGTATCTGATTGAAGACAGAATATTTTCAATTGTTTCTTATGCATATGAAAGCTGGACATTGAATAAGGAAGACCGGAGAATTGATGCCTTTGAACTGTGGTGCCGGTAAGAACACCAAGTATCCTGTAGACTGTCAAAAGAATAAACAATTCTATCTTGGGAGCAAGTGCAACCAGGAGACAAGGACAGTAAAAATTCTGTTTCACATATTTGGGACATATTGCCCAAAGAGGTCAGTCATCAGAAAAAGACTTCTGACCAAGAATGGTAGAAGGTCAAAGAAAAAGAGGAAAAAGACCTTTGGCAAGATGGCTTGACCTTGTGACTATAACAGTAAACTTGAACAAGTTGAATAAACTTGGACATCATGACAGTGGCACAAGATCAGGAAAGCTAATCGGTTGTTCATAGGACCATCTTGAGTTGTAGCTGGCATGACAGCACATAACACCACCACCACCATTCTTTCTCCTCCTCAGAATGTAAATCCCATAAAGGCAGCTACTTTCCCCCCCAATTCCAGCTACAGCAGAGTTGACTATGATTCGTGTGGCTCCATCATGCTTTCAGCAACTGATTACTGACCATCGGTCACGTTTTTAATCTGAGACATCATTGGGTGGATTTGAACCTCCAGCCTTTCTGTTCGTGGGCAGCCAAAGACATTAACCCTGTATTGCACAAGGATTCCTTCTCTGTCTTATCCATCATTATATTTCCCAAACCCTGTGCACAGGAGTAGGGACAATAGCTACAATAATAACAGCAGGAACAGTATGAGCAAATCCTTACATGATGTTGACTCTGCCAAGCACTAACTCCTTTCATTCTCACAACAACCCTATGAAATACAATCAAGGCGCTCCTAAGAGGCTAGGATGATGACACTTAAGGGAAAAGCCTCAGCAAGCTGCATTAAGCCCAGAGCCTGCAACAACGAGCAAGGTAGCTGGTGCTGGAGAGGGCACGTAATCCATCTGATGTTCGCGGGGTCACTGTGAATTATAGTTGACTTGATGGCACCCAACAATAATAACACAACCCTATGTTGTTAATGTCATCTGCGACTCATAGCAACCCTATGATCAAGAACTCTGAACCTAGCCCTGTCCTGAGCCAACGTCTCCATCTCTGACACACCTGAAACCATTGCCAGAGTCACTGTCCATCCACCTCATTCAGGAGCTTCCTCTCCTGTGCTGACCTTATGCCTTTTCCAAGCACGATGTCCTTCTCTAAGGACTGGCCCCTCCTGACACTGTGCCCAAATACAGGACGCAGAGTTTCAAAATTCTTGCTTCTAAGGAGCAACCTGGTTTCACTCTTTCCAGGGAGACCTGTTTGTTCTCCTGGCAGTGCATGGACTGTTCAGTATGCTTCTCCAGTACCACAACTCAAAGGTATCTGTTCTTCTCTTGTCATCTTTAGTCATTGTCTGTCTCTCAGATGCGCAGCAAGCAATTGAGAAGGCCAAGGCCTGGATCAGGTGCACCTCAGTCTCTAGACTGACACTGTTGCTCTTTTGCACTCTGGAGAGGTCTTTGAAAGCAGATGTCCCCTATGCAACTCATATTTTGATTTTCTGACCGCTGGGGCCAAAGGTATTGATTGTGAGTGCGAGCAAGATAAAATTGTTAACAACATCAACCTTTTCTCCATCCATCATGACGTTGCCTATTGGTCCAGTGGTGGGATTTTTATTTTCTTGATGTTTGCAGGAAAAATCCTATGAAGAACCCTATAAGGTGGGGCCTATTATTACCCCCATTTCTTAGACGTAAGAAGCGAGGCATAGAAAGTTTAGAAAACTTGCCCAAGCCCTTTCTTTTACAGGGCTGATAAACCATTGAGCCAGGAGTAGAACATAAACGCCTGGCTCTAAAATCAGCTCCTCAGAGGAGACATTCTTCCTAGAAAGATAAGAAATGTAGTAAATATTTGTGGGATGGATAGATGAGTGCTTAAATGAATTCACAAAGCCCTTCTTAATGCCTTGTGTAAGCAAGTACCCAGTTAATGTTTTGTTGAGCTGGTACAAATTAATGTGTTGCAGCTTCATGGCTGAGTAAATGTCTTCTTTTTCCTATGCGAAGCACTAGTTAATCCCTGTCCAAACAGCACCATAGAACCTTGAAGACACGTCTATGTCTGAAAGCGGATCTTCTTAACCACTGTGGGGTCAGTGTCTGCCTTTTGAACCTATAAAAGTTCCAGGATTTCGCCTAGCGGAGAAAGAAAAGATTTTGGAACACAAATTTTTGAGAACCACATGTGCAAACAAAGCTTTGCACGAGACTCAAGGACCTTCATGAGCCCAGGGCCCAGGGGGAAACGCCTACCTACACACGTCTGAGTTTGGATATCATTATCCTATTTCTCATTTACAAGACACAAGTGAGCTATCTGGCCTCTCTGGGATTCACCTTCCTCATCGCTGCCTCAGTGTTGAAATGCTTCCCTCCACTGAGGGACTGAGAATGAAATAAGACTGGCAAGAAGCTGCAATTCAATCCCAAAGGCGTGCGGTTTGAGGCCACCCGCTGCTCTGCCAGAGAAGGGTGGAAAATCTCCTCCCCTGCCCTTACCTGCCCGTGAAAATCTGCCAGGGGGTCAGCTATGGCTTGGTTCTGACTTGATGGTACAGAACAACACAAGTCATGGCTGACTCAACAGCACTTAACAACAATAACAACAACATATGCATTGGGAGGAAGAGGAAAGGATGAAAGGAGGAGATAGTGAGGGTGAAAACAGTGTGACAACGTCTCCAAGATCCCCCAGACGTGGCCACCAATGACGACATCTCTTAAGACAAGAGTAACACCACCCAACATCTCCTAGCAAACTTCATCTACAATGATCCCACCTTCAGAAGAAGCAATACTTGGGAATCTTGGCCAAGATGTACTCATCAACATATTGATTATCCATTCCTTGGCTGGGTGTCTTTCTTCATCTTCCAATCTCCTTTCTAATCATTACGTGTTAAGAAAGGCTGTCTGTCATTGGACAGCATCTCTCCACCCCATCATGCTGAGCCATGGCCGTGAGGCCAGAATGCTGCACTAGATGAGGGAAGGGTATCATTGTTGGTATTTATTGAGCACCTACTAAGTGGCAAGTATCTTTTTTTTAGGTCAGCTTTCTTCTCCGTGGCAATTCCTTTTGAGAGAGCTGCTCTCATTCAGTTCCATTTCCCACAGGCGTGGCTTGCCCAAGGTTAGAGAGCTGGGAAGGAGCAGAGGCTGCAGAGAGAGCCAGGTCTGGCTGACGTTTGCACCTCGGTCTATAAACCCCTACTATCTCGCCCCACTCACCCCACCATCCAGCTGTTACTGACCATCGTGCTAGGTCCTGGTGGGAGGGGGCACTAAAGTGTTGAACAAGGAGGTCGTGCTCTTGACTTCAGTGGGTCCCTGTCTCACTCCATCACTGCAACTTGACTCATTCTGGCATTTAGGGGGGGTTGGGGTGGTGTTGTGGATTAAGCATTAGGAAGCGAGGCAAAAGGTCAACAGTTTTAATTCACCAGCTGCTCCTCAGAGGAAACACCAATGTGGTGCTCTGTTCCTGTAAAGACGTCCCCTGTGGGAACCTGACGGGGGCAGTTCGACTCTGGCCTGCAGAATCGCTGAGAGTGCGAGTCGACTCTATGGCATCGGGTTTGGTGTTGGTTCATCTGGCTTTTTTTAATGGCTTCTGAGGGCTAAGCAAGCAAAGATGCTGTTCTGCGACTACAGGAAGGTCCTGAGGCGTGTCATCTTCTTAAACAAGTACTATGTACATTATAGGTAATTACATCTGCTGTCCAGCACCCTCGGCACTACTTGCATAAGCACGCACATTATACGTGTGGATGCATGATGTTTTTTAAAAGAACGCAGCAGAGCTAAGAAGTCACGGTGAATCCTATAGCTTTGGGCTGGCTTGTAAAACAGAGCTCCTCAGCCCAATGCTGGAAGCCTGGGTTTGAAGGCCACTGGACCCCTCCACGTGCGTCGTTTAACCCGACACAGGTAAGTCAGAAATCTGCTCACACGAGACACGTAGCAGAAAGCAAATCTGTTTCCAGCTAGGCTCTTTCTGGGACACATCTGGGACCCATAGTATGCCCAAACATCTGAAAGGGGGGGGTGAGGCCAAAAAAAAAAATGCAGTCGCTCTTCCAAGTGTTTTATCTGCTTCATGCCAACCATCCAGATGTTTGAAAACAGCCAGATGAGTGAGTAGTCACATTTTCCACCTTTCGGGGTGGGGGGGTGGCATTCGGGGGATACTGGAGCCATTGCCACACTGGACTT